AAAAAAATATTATATGGAATTAAACGAAAATGAAAATTTGCTTGATAATTCAACTACGCTTGTTGGAGAACAATAAAAACACTACACTCAACGAGCCACCAATAAAACTCAACTGCCTAACCTATAACCAAAGTCTTCTTTTAATTTGTTTTTTAAAAAAAGCGCTTGACAAACTTGCCCCGCTTGCCGAAGTTGCCCCGATCTCCCCTAATCATTATAGTCATTCTTTAACACTATATAATAACATTGTTAATAGTACAATTATACTATATTTTACACAATACATATATTATAGCCGACATCATCACATATATTATAATGCAATTATATACATCCCGCATACTATAGCCGACACTATTTCAATTAACAATAGTTTATAATACATTCAATTAACAGTATTTATATCAATATGTTATTATGCAGCAATGTTGCATTATATTTATTATAACAGTAATTTATTATATTTATCAAACAATATTATAGCATTATTGTAACAGCAATATTCTAATAATATTTTATTATGATGTCTGTAGTTCAATATTTATTCATCATTTATATCTTATATATTATCTAACATTCAAATAATAAATACTATCTAAAGTTGCACTAGTTACAATATCTGTAATAACCAATTACCACCTTATATTTTGCTATTTCATATTACAGAATATTGTATACATAATAGGTTTCATTAATGCTTAACAATATTACAATATACAATGCATTAAATACATTCACGGTGTATAAAGATAGAATATTGCAATATCAGCTCTAACAGCACTTTATCATTATTTATTATAATTACATATCAATTGTAACATGTAATACAGCAAGTATCAAATATATTATCAATATATACATATACATTACATGTATATATCAATTCATATACTGCACATAACTAGATATAAATCCACCAATTCAAATTACCCAGTTAAAATCAGGTAAATTTCTTTAAATAATATGTGATTAGCTCCACACTATTAACCAATTCTGTCATACCGCGTATTCAATAAACAATGTTATAACAATGCTTATAATCAGGTGATATTCATGAAAATAAGTATAAATGCCATCCAATACAACAATTTTATTGTTCAATTTATGTGAATATTAATTTCAATATTTGATTTATCAATAATGTGATTTATTACAATAGGGTACATCTCAGTTATAGATAATTTGGTTATTGATCTTATAAATTTGTTTGGCAAGACTGACAAAAGCATTATAAGTGCTCCCATTAGTCAAGATATCAGATAGTTTACACGGCCATTTGATTCCATTATTCTCTAATATACTTATTAGTTCTATCCTTTCCCTTTCAAATCTTATACAATCATAGATATAATGCTTTGAACCATCAATTGCAAGACATGTAGAGCATTGATTGTCATTTCGGTTTGTAAATCTTGCTAGATAGCTAGCAAATTTGCCATGATTTGTCATAAGTTGGGTTGTAGTATGGTCCGGGTAAAACCATTCCAAAGAGTAAAATTTTTTTAGATCTGGTATAAATTCATAAGTAATATGCGTATTTTTTTGGTTCCACTCATTTTGCCAAATTTGGATGGTGTTTTCCCATAATAATCTTTTAATTGAGCCGATACTGTATTTATCATATTCTATTGGTAATGAGACATCCCCAGCTGCCTGCTTTGCCAAGGTATCCGCCCTCTCATTTCCCATTGTGCCTTGATGGGCTCGTGTCCAAGATATGGTGATATTAGAATTTGAGTGATTTATTAATCTACGAATCTCTTCCGCAATGGGGTGTAAATTGGTGTTATTAATCATATTAAAAGCAGATAAAGAATCTGTACATATGTTAGCATTAACTTTATCCTGTAAATTACATATCCAAATAATGGCCATTTTAATTGCACACAGTTCAGCTTGAAAAACTGTGCAGTTGTTATCTAAGCGGATGGTTCTATGGTATATTTCTTCTTCATTTTTGTAAACTACAAAGGAGCATCCAACCATGTTATCGTGTTTTGATCCATCCGTAAACACTTTGATATTTTCAATCCCATTTTCATTATCTTTATAATGCACAGCTGTATTATAATGGTGAGTATTACAGTATGGGAAACGCCATTCAATTTCATTATGTGTAATTCTTTGATGATTGAGTTCGATCGCCTCTCCCCATTTAGCTCTTTGTAGATTCATTTTTTGTTTAATCGATAAGTCCAGCGGAGGTTTCCTGGCAATGGCTTGAAGGCTGGTGTTACTGGTAGTACAGTACGCCTTGGTTATTAAAAGTAAGGCAGTTCTTTGTGATGATATTAGTTTTCGTTTGATATGAACTTTGTTTGTCACCCAGCCCCAGGTGCCACAGGCATAGGTAATGATTGGGAAATATATGCAATCATATATAATTGACATCGCCCCCGAGGACAGGCCCCATTCTTTTTTCGCAACCTGGGCAAAAGACTGTAGTATTAGTCCTGTACGCTTGACCATATACTCAATATGTTGTTGCCAACATAGTCTGTGATCTAATATAACTCCAAGATACTTGATGGTCCTGTTGACTTTGATGGTTTTATCATTCATTTTTATGTGGGGCGGTCTAAGATATAAATTTTTGTGCCCTGGCGTATTGAATACAATTGCATTTGTTTTTAATGGATTAAATACCAATTTATAATCATTACCCCATTTGTAGATTTTTTGAAGGAGTTCATTGCCTTTATGTTCCAACTCTGCTCTTGAGCGTCCACCGATGAGCATTATAACATCATCTGCATAAGCTACACATCCCATATGGCCCAAGTCCTCTTTCAAGAAAACATCAAATGTTATGTTCCATAGGATAGGACCACATACGGATCCTTGTGGACATCCTCTGGCTATGTTTTTGCTCACTTCATGTTGTCCATATTTCAATATTGCAGTACGATCGCTTAAATAGTTGTTTAGTAGCTTATAAATGTTGCCAGGACAATTGATTTTCCGTAATTGTAATTTTACTAGGGGCCACCAAACGCTATCGAACGCTTTAGATATATCTAGGCTGACCCCTAGTACGTATTTATGATCCTGTAATAGATTCTTGATTTTACATATGGTCGTTTCAATTGCGTCCTCCACTGATTTTTGGGGACGAAAACCGTACTGCACATTACTCAGAATTTTGTTGTGTTCCACATACCACTGTAGCCTGTTAGTTAGTAGTTTTTCAAGTATTTTTCCCATAATTGAGAGCAGAGAAATTGGTTTAGTACTATCTGGGGATCCTGGTTTTGGCACCGGTACGACCCTTGCTATTTTCCATGATTTTGGAAAAATAGAATGATTTAAGCATACATTATAAAGATTTACAAGATGTTGCGGTATTAAAAACCAGAGGTTTTTTGCCAATTCAGATGTTATGTTATCTAAACCAGGGGCTTTCCCCTTTTTAAGGTTACAAAAAACTTGCTGTATTTCCTCCACACTAAAAGCTGGCATGTCCTCCGTATAGTATGGTTCCTCAGTGGTTTTCCGAATGTGCTTCTGTAAGTCTGATTCATTATTTAAGTTGTCATTTGGACAGAACAAGTCTAGCTGCAATGCTAGTTCCTGTATTAATGTAGTTGGATTATCCCCATCAGAATCAGAAGCAACCATAATTTTAGTCTTACGAAGTTTATTATTGCACATCTTGGTTATATATCCCCATGGGTTAATGGAAGTTTCAGTGCAGAAATTGCGCCAGCTGCGAATTTTCTCTAGTTTAATTTTTTGTTTGTATTGCATTTGGCAATTGAGATATTCATTCTTACGTATAATGCGTTGTGATTCGTCTCGACACTTCTGATACTGTTTCCTTAATTTTCGTGATTTTTTATGTAATTCTTCTAGTTCTTTAGTCCACCAAGGAACTGCTTTTTTATGATTGTTACCTTTAGGTATATATTTATCGCAAGCCTGTTTTATGATCGCTATGTTTTCCTCTATTTGCAAACCAACAATTTCCTTATTCTCAGAGTAAGAATTATGTAAATGTGTCTCTAAGTACTCCTTAACTGCTGTCCAGTTAGCACGTTGCAATATATATTTTGGGCTACGGGTGTACGATTGAACATTATTACTGGATGAATCCAATAAATCAAAAGATATTAAAGAATGTTCCGTTAAGCTATCTTCCTCACATACCTTCCAACTTTGTATCTTACTATATATGCTGCTGCTGCAAACAGCTATATCGATCCAGCTATCTCCTCTATGGGAGGAGAAAGTTGGAGGAGACATGGGGTTGTTTAAGAGGTAAAGGTTATTAAAACCAAAAAATTCCTCCAACAGGTTACCCCGTCCGTCCAACCTCTCCCCTCCCCATGTCGGAGAATGCGCGTTAACATCTCTGGCTAGAATAATGTTAACACTTCTAAAGGCATTAATTATTCGTTGTAATTTACCAATTATTTCATCAGAGTTGTAGTCACCAGGTAAATACACATTAATTATAATTATCCTTGTGTCTTTGAGCATTAAATCAGTAATCACTATATACTTACAGCTATATTTCTTATGAAACATAGTGGAAAGATTGGTATTGGGAATAATTGTAATTGCCCAAGGATAATCTTGTGTGCCTAGTAAAACCAGACAGGGAGTAGGAATACTCGCAGGAACATTTCTTATACAGTAGGGCTCTTGTACAAGCACAATGTCTTAGGTATTAATAATCTTAGCAAGTAGGGAAGTGGCAGAGATACTTCTACCAATGTTTATTTGTAGAAAACGTATTTTATTATTATTGTCCAGATCCATATTCGGTCCTGGATTCAATATATGTCTTAATTCTTTGGTATATTGGACATTGACTATCCCTCGCATTATGTATGACATTGTGTACCCCCTCATGCTCACAGTTACAACACAGGGGTTCCTGTTCGTAATTCGGGCATTCATTGTACGTATNCATAGGTATTAATAATCTTAGCAAGTAGGGAAGTGGCAGAGATACTTCTACCAATGTTTATTTGTAGAAAACGTATTTTATTATTATTGTCCAGATCCATATTCGGTCCTGGATTCAATATATGTCTTAATTCTTTGGTATATTGGACATTGACTATCCCTCGCATTATGTATGACATTGTGTACCCCCTCATGCTCACAGTTACAACACAGGGGTTCCTGTTCGTAATTCGGGCATTCATTGTACGTATGATCCCCTGAGCAATGACTGCATGTATAATGTGCATTAGGGCAATCTCTAGCAGAGTGGTTATAACCGCAGCACTTAAAGCATTGCAGGATTGGGCAAAAATCCCCAACCCTGCAACGCGACCACTCTATACTTACCTTTCCAAGTTTAATTATATGCTGTCTTAAATTAGGAGAAACCTGAAATATCCAATTCTTGTAAGTTGCATGTCTTTTACTTGTATTAAATTTAGTTCGAAAGTTATCCATAAATTCCTTTTCCATAAAATTTTCATAAATATATGGATTTTGTTGGTAGATAAGCCCTGGCAGCTCTTCTTTTGGTATTTTTCCATGTATAGAATAAATAATGACATGTGGCCATCTTCTCTTAGGGCGTCGTGTGACCAGTTCCGGGATTTGTTCTTCAATTGTTTTTTCAAATATGGCAGCGTCTCTCTTTTGTCCTATTTCAACGGCGATTCCTCCCCTTATCTTTCTCATTTTGTCAATCCCAATATGCATCTGTGATGGTTTAATTCGTATTTGCATCAGTTTCCTAACAACATCACTATTGTTGTTATCCTTATCCTTGTTATATATTAAGATAACTTCCTTTTGAGGACTCGATTTGTTCGTTAAATGTTGACCATCCTTGCCATTGTTAAGTACACTGCTATAAGTAGGTTGTGAAGGAATATTTTGAGTGGTCTTATTCTCTATTCTGTCTAATTTTTCCAAGACTGCTTTCTGAACTTCCATATTACTATCATTTAGGGATATACAGTTTGTCTTATCCTCAATGTTTCTTATCTTCTCCATAACTGCCATTTGGTTGTTTATAGTATTGGCTGCAGAGTCTAGATTAAACATATTATTGTTGATTCTGTCCAAATTTTCTAGAATTTGTTGTTGAGAATCAAACATTGTATTTGAATTAATCAGATTTTTGATATCTTCTTTATCTGCCAATAATTTAAGCCTGTTTTCTAATAATTCTGGCAATTCAATGTTAGAGATTGCATCTATAATTGTATTTTCAGCTAAGCTAATAATTTTATGAAATTGATTATATATAAACTGCGCATGCTTCGCAGTTTCAAATTGGCCTTTAGGATTGTTAAGTGCATATTCCTTTAGTTCATCTAGAATATTATTAGCATTTAAATGAAAAGTCTCAGTAATTACAGACCCCATAATGAATTATATGTAATATAATATCAATATAACAACACAAATATAATATAAGTATCAGTCAATTAATTAAAATTAGTCAGTAATATTCTTATAGTATATATGTTACAGTTAAAACCCGATTTTAGTTAAAACCCGTTTTAACTAGTTAAAACTAGTTTTTACTGGATGCCTTTGTTAAAACTAGAATTTACTGCTAGTCAAAAATGAATTTCAGTTAAAACTAGTTTTAACTAGACAAAACGGGTTTTAACTAAATGGCTTAGTAAAAACTATTTGGACCGAAATCAAAGTTCATTCAGCTAACACATGTGTGATACACGGTATCACACAACAGTCTGCAAGGACCGCTCACGCTGTCGTTTCGGATGGCTTTTTATCGAGTGGCAAGGGAAGTGAGCAAGTCAGCAGGCGTCCTTTCAAAGACAGGAGACAGGTTTAACGAATAAACAAAGCATTTATTGAATAACTAAAGTTAAAAATGTCGGTTAAATGCGATTAAATATGAGATAAATATACAAAGGGGCAGCTCTTAGCAGCTAAGCTATTCTCGGAGAGAGAGAGAGAACTGTAGGATGGCGACAAGTATGGAAGTTCGAAGCTGTGGTTTGTCTTCTACTGATATCTTTTCTTTTTGTTCGTTCGAGTCTGTTGTATGGATGTCCGGGAGACGAGATGCGCACATTGACAAGTATAACTTCCGTTGGATCGCCCTGAGCTTCCGGGGGCTCGAGCTTTTATTCGATTGTAGTGGGAAAGGAGTTACATGATCGTCAAATGTTGACAATAACGGTGCAATTTTGACACCTATGTGTCAACTTTCCCATCTAATTGTTATGACAAACGGTGACCTCCGATCTAATTCTCACAGGAGCGTTATTTCTATCGGAGTTGTTTACATATTTTTCCCGACGACTTTGTTAAATTCGCAAATTTCACATCTGTGATAACGCTTACGATGCTAGAATGACTCTGATTGGTAAATCAACGGCGCCTGATTCGGGACGAGTCGACGCGCGCCGTCGCCACGTGCAGACCCGCGCAGTCAGTTTTCCACTAAGCACACATAAATCGATTCGTACGTAATTATTTATCATGGCAGATTCACATGAAGGAANAATTATTTAATAACAAATCATGAGTTTTTAATTAAAGTTTTCAATTAAAGTTTAGGATTATTCTAGAATAAAGATGAAGACATTATTAATTAGTAAAATAGTTTGTGATATAACAATATTATAAATTATTTGTGACATTTCTTTTCGTATCAATAAATATTAATATTTATATATACATATATAAGTTTTCTAACAATGTCTTTAAGTATTTAAATAACATATATATGTGAGGTGAAACATAGTTATTTAGTTAACAAATAACTATGTTTAACCTCCATAAGATAACTGAATAAAATAATATTTTATTCAGTTATCTTATGGAGAAATGTGAAAATTTTTAACTTAGTTCATGCCCGGCCAACCTGCGGCACATGACGTTAAATTGTGTGGCCCGCTAAGCGATATTATATATCTATTAAAACTTTTGTTACCCATTATGTGTATACCAAAACAATTAAATAAATGAAAATTTGCATGTGTCATTGTTATAATGTGTCCAAATAGCTAATAGAATTTAAATGCACAATACAATAAAAAATGACAATTGAATGTTTAAACATAATTCCAATCGTTAGTTTATTGAAATATCACAGAACCATTCAGTCACCATCAATATTTTGTTTGTAGATTTAACATAAAGTTGCTCTCTTAAACAATTCTACAAATTTCCAATTTTCTTCTTACAATAAGGATTTTTTGCAAACAGTTATAAATTGAAAATTTACTCAAAGGTACTTAATTTTTTAATTCAATGTATTGCACGCTACTTACAAGCATAACTTTCACATCTCATCTTATAATACATTACTTATTTGATGAAAATGAATTTATAAACAATTGGGAATTACCAATGTTTACCCTACAAACAGTAATCAAAATTGCAGTGATTTAACCACTGATTCACTTTCTTCTAGGTGTCTACTCTCTGTCTTAGCCAATAAATGCTTTTTCATCACCCCCAGTCCATAAATATTTCAGAGCACACCTCCTACTACCATTGTTAAATTAAACAATTACAGGTAAGCAGGCAAATTATTGGCTCATAAAATCAAAAGTAAACTTCTTATAAACAATAGTTGGCTATTTTCTGTCTCTGTAGCCATTAATCTAACAAACCAGAAACTTGTGAAAAGTCTATCTAAAATTGCTGCGAGATACCAGTCCTCTTTGGCTACAATCTTAGAAATATGAAAACAATCACTGTAAGTTTGCTTGTTTTATCACTTTTATTTGTATTTTTCAAATTATTTGTCTAAATACTGTCAAGCAAATTTTAAAAGTAATATCAAGGAAATTTACTAGGCCCTATGTAATGTTTTTTATAATGTCAAATTATAAAAAATGAAATGAAAAATATAGACTCAAGAGTATGAACTAAGAATTAAATTTCGAAACATTTTGTTCTTTTAAATTTATTTAATCTATTCTTGTTTGGTACAGAATCTTAAATCTCCTAAATATTGCAAGCAAAATAATACAAAACCTGACCTACGACATAAGCAAAATTATAGCAAATCTTGATTCATACAACAACTAAATAAATACTGAACAAACCAATACTTTAAAAAGAATATTGCATCTGCAAAAGAAACGAAATCAATTTTAAGATCACGCGCTATTTTTCCAGAAATTTAAAAACAAAAATGTTTTCTTTTAAAGCATCAGATGAAACAAGATCCAAAGCAAAATTTTAAAATTTAGTTTTTTTCCCTCTATTTTAGACATGACAATTGCTTCAGGCAAAGAAACATTCACACCCTTATAATAAGAAAGCAAAAACTTTAAACTTATAAAAGAAATCAGTAGATTGAAAAATTGGAGTGATGAAGATTCAACGAAATATTGTAAAGATTTGCATTTAAAACTGTGACAATTCAAATCACATACATCTAATATCGCAACTGTTAACTTTTTTCAGGTTAGTTGGTTGGTATAGTGCTACTTAATGGCGCAAGGGCCTCATGAACCATGCTGTGCAAACAATATAGTAAACATAAAATAATCATAAAATAGAAGCATGCTTGTAAAAAAAAAGCTGTAAAAACTATAAAATTTCAGTATGCAATAATATACTGTGGTAAAATTATTAAATGACCAAAAAAATTTAAAAGTACATAAGATATACATAAAATGGTCTACAATAATAAAGTGATGTAACCAGATATGATAATACTAATACGTTTTTTGTTTTTATAAAGTTTTTATAAGTAAATGTAACAGAAATGCATGCCACAAGACAAATATAATCATATTTCTCTTTAAATATTAATATCTGATAAAAGGGCAAAAAGCCCTGAAGGATTAAAACCTTTACCAATAAGGGCTAAAAGATTCAAATTAGCCAGCTTAAAATATTATTGTGGCAATTGAATAAAACTCTCAATTGCAGTTAAAATATGTTTGATTGTTAAAAGGCAGTGGCACAGAGAGCATTCAGGTAGATCTTTTCCTATCAGGAGGTGACCTATGCACAGTTTATTTTAAATGATATGACAGTAAATATAAATGTGTGCCTAATATTTAGTAAAAGATAACTTTCTGTTAATATTATAAATCAGAATTAAAATGAACAAAAACAATTGTAAGTACATGAAAGTTATGAAATTTAATGTAAAGTAAATCTAAAATGAAAAATACAATTATACATATAAGCTAAACATATCCTAATACTAAAAAATCTTGTAAAATAAAGGTATATGTAATGCTGAAAATCCTAAATTAAAATACAATGCAGGAATTGTTAGATATTTACATAGCCTAATTTAAATGTAGAGAATACATTATGAAATGCTTTTAATAGGTTATAAAAACTCCATGTTTATGAAGAAAATAGACAGGAAAGAATTAATTAAGAAAAAATAAAATTGTAACATGTATCAAAATGAATATGAATGTAAAACAATGTTTTAATTCATAGAAATTGTGATTTAAAATTAATATGTAGAACATTCATAACATGTATATTAATAATGTAATAATACTGTGTCTGTAAAGTCAAATGAAGAGGGCAAAAGCTGAAATTAATTTTGACAAAAAGATTGTAATGTTATACTGTACGTTTTTACACTCTCTTGTTATTTTTATAAATTTTATAATCTATATGTATATAACCCATTGAACGCGTGTCCGTCCGTCGGTCCGTCTGCATAATGATATGCCAAAAACAGGCACTAGAGGCATTCTAGCAATGATTTTAAATTAACAATAAATTATTATTATTTGTAATAGGAATTTATTATTGATATGAATTTATTATTTTAGATTACAATAGGAATGGAGGAATTAGATGAAATTATAAATAAAACTCGCAAAGACATCACCCGGAAGTGACCTTATTCCAACCAAATTCTTAAAAACACTACCAACTAAAGGAAGAGTGAAGTTGTTACACCTCTTCAATTCTATGTATAAAACAATCACTTATCACTCCTGGAAATCAGTAATACTCACAATGATATACAAAAAAGTGTTAAACTTTCTCCAAATAATTATAGGCCAATTGCATTAATGTCAACTTTAAGAAAATGTTTTACATCGCTACTAGCTACAAAATTTCAGTACTAGACCAAGATAATGGATCTCGAAGCAAAGTTTCAATATTCCTTTTTCAAAAATAAAAAAACAGAATCTGCTATTTTCCTGTTATCATCCATAATACAATTCAAGTGAGTAAAAAACAAAGATTTATGTAGCTTTTATAGATATTCAAAAAGCCTTTGATTCTGTTTATGTTCCGCTATTAGTGTATAAGTTAAAAGCTAAAGGATCAGGAAACCAATTTGCTACTACAATATTTAAGCTATTTTCAACTTATAATGCAACTATTGAACAGTAAAAATCTGTTTCTCCACCATTAACATTAACACAAGGCATACTTCAGGGTGACTCCCCGTCACCTTACTTATTCAACTTCTATTTACTTGAAACTGATCAAATCTTTCAAGATCGTTCAGATAGGATAGAAATTGGTGACAGAGTTTTCCACTATGTGTTATTTGCAGATGACCTTTCTGTCTTTGCTCCTACAAAAAGTTTCATTACAAAGAAAAATTAATCAGTTAAATTCCTATCTTGTTAAATCAATTCACTTAACTATAATCTCTGTCAAAACTAAAGTTCTTATATTCTAATTAAATTAATTAAAATATCTATAACCATAAGGCAAATAATAGGAAGGGCTTATCACACCAATGATAATGGGCACAAACTTTCAAGAATCAAAGTAAAAAATTTAATAAAACAAAAAGGGGTGTACAATAAGATGATTACATAAGTATAAAAACCATAAAAATCGAAAATGCATTTTGGACTATTTTCCAATGGAAAAATAGTCCCTCATCAGTTGATAATAGTGAGAGGTCTTAGTATACTTAAAATTATACAAGGTGAAAAAAAATATATCAAATTTTAAATCAAACTTAAAACTATGCCTAAAGCTATACAATATAAAGGTGAAAACCATCGCCATGACTGTATGAGCAGTAAGCATTATCAATGTAGACAGGATTAAAATTTCTTCCTAACGTTGCATGGTAACGTGATGAACAGGGTGCTGATACAAAAATAGTTATGAGTTAGCCGAAATATTGGTTAACAGTTATGAACTAATATTATACAGTCAGTTTAAATTATGTACATAAGAAAAACAGTAGAACAAGAGTTGCAGGTTCAGACATTTCTACTAGATGCAGGGAGCCGGTTACAAAGGAGGTGTGTTCTTATATTCTGTAATAATAGTAGAATCTCCAAAAAAGAAACTGTGCTATATCTAGATAATAATCCACTGCAGACAGTAAATGAAATTAATTATTTGAGTGTTGTATTTGACTGGAATCATACATTTAAATCACATCTCTCATACTTAGACAACAAGGTAAAACACACCATAGGTAATCTGTTATATATATATTTTAAATTAAAAATTTCTAACTTAACTATCCATATGAAGCTCTATAATTCAATTATTAATCCAATCATATACTACGCATCTCCAATCTGGGGACTTGACTACTTCTTTAAACTAGAATCTTTCCATATTTATTTCCTGTGCAGACTATTTCATTTAGAAAGAACTGTAACAGGCTATGCAATTTGTCATAAAACCAACTGTATCTGCACATTCCCATTCTTTATAAAACAAATCATTAAATTCTATTACTGTTTAAAATTTATAAGTGACAGTAATATCAGCTTTCTACATAATGAAATAATTAAAAGTAGCAAAAAAAAAAAAACCAACATCTATACAACTTTGGCAAACTAAATTAAATAAAATACTAAATTCTTTTGGTGTATCAGAATTGTTATTCAAAGATAGTATCTGAGATTGGAAATTTGGATATACCAGGCTAATAGATTCAGCCTATAAATGCTGATCAAACCAGTTTAAATCATAATACTTATCATCCATGGTACTTAAAAATTTTTTAAATCTCATCTGTACAACCTTATATGATAAAAACAATCAACTTCAACGTGAAAAGACTAATTGTGATAAAAGAAAGATGATAAATTTTAATAAATACATTTTATAATATTTAATGAAAACAGTACATTATAAAATATATACCTTTTATTCCTTAATTGTAAAAAAACAATTCAAAGATCTTTAAATTGTTATTAGAAGAGAGNATAAATAATTTTAATCGCCGTTGAATAAGAAATGTTTCTTTCACAAGAAATGTATAAAATTACAGTACTGTATTAGACTTACGGTACCTAATTTACATACTGACAGACGATAGTTAGCGTAAAAATCTCCGTAGCGTGGCGCCACGCTAGACGGCGGAAATTATATATTTAATTATAACAAAGTTACAATAAGTTAATATATAATTATATATACAGTACCTAATTTATATATAATTAATATATAATTATATGTACAGTACCTAATTTATATATAATTTATATAATACTGTCCAGATGATAGAAATCTCTCCGTAGTTGGCGCTATGGACGGCAGGAAAGTAGTTCGGCTGCCCGATGATGTTTGAGGTAATTATAGGGAATTTTTACTCTTTTTTCGTAGTTTTATAGAAATCATAATTATAGGGACCGTAATTATAGGGGGGGTCGACTGTATATAGATATAGATGAAAAAATTGATATAAAAAATAATTTGCTGAGAAAGTATAAATATATTTTCTAAATAATTTTTTTTTTAGTAAAGTCTTCATTAGTAATACTGTAGTGATATAATATAATTTGTAATAGCATTGATGCATTTTTATATGTAATTTATCATGCTTAATACGAAAATTCTATGAAATTATATTCATAATCTAATAATTATGATTTTATTAGATCATTTATGTAAAGATTTTAAAGATCTTTTTATTTCGCAATGAAAATCATTGAATAAAATTATATCCAGACTGGATGTATACAGTTTGAATTTTTTTTAGTTTTACAAGTTTTTTAGAACAAAACATTTCATCTTGTAATAAAAAAATAATAAATGTGTGTATGTATATGCATGTGTGAGTGTACACATACACTGAGATAAGTACAATTAATTTTATAATGTATGTAAACTTTTTAAAATTATCTAATTACATATTAGAAAGGAAACATTTGTTTTATTATTTCTCTATATTTTTAATTTTATATCTAGAAATTAAATATTTGATTTTCAAGAAAAATAATTATTTCAATCAAATTTATTCTATATTAATATTAAACAAATTCTCGCTGTATATTAATCTATCATATAATTATTGCCCATGGTGTAAATCAGGAGAATCTTCAATCAACCACCTACTTCAGAAATGTCATACAAACGTACAATACACGTGACTCTTTCAATGTCTCGCCAATGTTACACGATAATACACACCAAGATTACAGAAATATTCTAAATAGTTTGAATAAAAAAGATCTACAATTTATATAAATACTTCATCAAGTATTTTAAGTTATAAAATTAAATTATAAAATCACATCACTTAGCAAAGGCTAAAATTAAATGTAAAGTTATAAATCTAGACTAACCTCGTCCATCTTCAGCTTTTCGAACATCCAAAGAATCCAACTCCTTTTGCATTATTCTCCTTGCATAATAAGTAGTTAAATTAAAGTAAACTTCACGTAAACATTTTCTATAACTTAAAGCCACCGAGTTAAGTTCATTCCAGTGAAGCCCGACGACCTTTTCATTCCATCCAACTTCCATCAATTTCGAATCGCCACGACGTTCTTTTCCAACCGTCGTCTTCTAACTTTTCTGTTCGATTCCGGGCGACGCCCCGAAAATGTGCCATCAAAATAATAAAAGAAAAGAAAGATAAAGAATGGACGACTTTCGAACACTTTTCTTCCTTCCCGGTCCTTTTTCCCGCTCTTTTCTGCCTATGCGCCCTCCAGCGGATGTTGAATTTTTAAAAAAATCTCGTCCTCATATGCATAACTTGTGAAGCGGGAGACGAGAGTTTTTACGGAACATTTCTTAATGTATCCGAATTTTACACATAAAAGCTTACACGTGATAAGGACTATACGAAAGATAATGAGATGTATTGAGTTACTAAACACTACTCTTGAGATTGATTTATTCTTCCACTTAATTAAAACGAATTAGAAACTTCATTCTAGATGTGTTAAGCCATGTGTTAAAAAAAAGAGAACAAGTATGATTTCTATCTCGAGTTGTCTCCTGCTGCTGACACATCTCGTTGAAACACGTATAATAGCTTACTGCCATTACTGATAAATTTTTAAATAAAATAATTACCAATTGCAATAATATATAGGTCCGTTATATAAAATACTAGCTGTTGCCCGCGACTTCGTCCGCGGAGGTTTTGCAAGCAAACCTCGTTTACATTCAATATTTCAATAACCATAGTAATTGTTATATAACACCTACCGCTGAAGAGAATTGCCGAGAATCAAACGAACTATTTTCAATTTGATCAATTTTCTGGAACGTTTACAATCGTTCTATAATCGAACCAATGCGCAATAACAAATTCGAATTTAAAACGGTTCGAACATTTTTAAAACCGAAATAGATAAAAATATTTATAACAATGTCTGAAATGTTATCAATTTAATACACCTAAGTACTCAATGAAGACTAAACGTAGTTGAAAACAAAAAATCGCATCTAAAATAGTACAGTAGAAGCCGTTCTTCCGGTTAAGCCTTAATACTCTCCCTCTCCCCCCGCGGGGGAATTTCGAAAAATCTCTTCTTAGTGTGCGTTTCCATGACGTACCCTAACTGTGTACCAAATTTCACCTCTTTAGGTTCAGCGGTTTGCTCTGGGCGATGATCAATCAGTGACTAAGTCAGTCAGTGTATTTATCTGACGTACAGTACTTAATAAATAAACAAGTTCAATATAATTACCTCTGTTATTAGATCCAATATATTCCATACGCCCTCTAAATGCCAATTCTTGCTTTGATTAAAACATATAACATCTATTTATTTAAATATAATATATCTATTAACCGTAACTATCTCGTTATAATTTTCAATATTGCAATAACATTCCGAATCGCTAGCCACGATATAAGGGCTAAATTTAAAAATAAAATTATAAAAACTTATAAAAATCGTACTTACTAAACCTTTATTGTCCGGTACTTGTAAATTATTTGTAAAAACAAGCGTTTTCGGCCTCAGTCGAGGTCTGCTTCAGGTTAAAATAATTGGATTCCATTCTTCGAACGCACGTTTAGTTTTAAATATAATCGAATTTCTTGCGCGTGTTACATATCGTCATCGTTTTTGTTGTTCTTCGCATACGTAACGCCAAGCATAAGAAAGCGTGTTTCCGTCTTTGGTGTTTATACATCTCTCTGTCCGGCCTGCTTTGTAGATTTCCAGGGCTTCAAGGGCTCTGATGTGATCCGTATGAAAAGCTCTATTTATTAATCTGGCTTTTGATAGTTCCGCGTGAATATCCGGGTCGGTTGCGTAGGTGGATAGTGCAGTGGTGTAACGAGCATGTTCTATGTCATATTTGTGCTCTTTAACTCTTTGTTGGATTGAACGCTTCGTGGAGCCGATGTATACCATTTCTTGCTTAAACCTATCATCTCTCACCGGAATACAATATACCCCCTGAGCTCTCAGATCGTTCTGTTTGTCTTTTGCATTACGTAGTAATTGGTATACATTGGGGGTTCTTCGATACGCTACCCTGGTGTTCGTTTTAGTTGCAATTTTTCTATATAACGCTTGAAATCGTTTGCTGTATTCAACTATGTTGCGTCTTCTGTTTGGCTCTTGATTATCATTTTTAGTAATGGGTGCCTCCTGTGTTTCATGTGTTCGTAAATAGGCATTTGCCATTCTTTGTACTAGTTCTTTTCTGTATCCATGTGCAACTGCAACGCGTTCTATATTTTGTAGCTCAGTTATCGTGTCACTCCACTTAGAAGGGTGCGTAAATGCTCTTTTAATCAACGCCCGGAATGCTGCGATTTTATAAGTGTACGGGTCCGCTGAGTTTGCCGGTATAAACCATGGGATGTAGCTGGGTTTATAATATATATCCGTATCAATGTTTTTACCGTTGAGCATGATGTTGATGTCCAAAAAGTGTGCGTTGGTGGAAGTCATTTGATCTAGTTTCAGGGTCAGCCCGTATGGATTGTTGTTTATGTGGTTCAAAAAGTCATTTATGCGTGGTTTCGTTTTCCACAGGATAAAGACATCGTCCACATATCTCTTATAAATAATTACATTAGAACTATACTTTGGTATGACTGTTTCTTCCAACTTACGTAATACCAACTCACATAAGTCGCTAGACAGCAGACTGCCCATGGGTACTCCTCGTTTTTGTAAATAGGTCTTGTTGTTAAATTGGAATATAGAGTTGTAACACATAAGATGCGCTAATTCCAAGATCTGCTTGCGATGTGTTAGTGTTCTAAATTTGCTCAATAGGAGATCTCTTAGAGCGCAAAAACATGGTTGCAATTTGATCGAAGGGTATAATGATACAAAATCACATACAGTGATGTGGGCCAACTCCGTTACACGTGTTTGCCTTAATATTCTTATAAGCTCTTTGGGGCNAAGTCATTTGATCTAGTTTCAGGGTCAGCCCGTATGGATTGTTGTTTATGTGGTTCAAAAAGTCATTTATGCGTGGTTTCGTTTTCCACAGGATAAAGACATCGTCCACATATCTCTTATAAATAATTATATTAGAACTATACTTTGGTATGACTGTTTCTTCCAACCTACGTAATACCAACTCACATAAGTCGCTAGACAGCAGACTGCCCATGGGTACTCCTCGTTTTTGTAAATAGGTCTTGTTGTTAAATTGGAATATAGAGTTGTAACACATAAGATGCGCTAATTCCAAGATCTGCTTGCGATGTGTTAGTGTTCTAAATTTGCTCAATAGGAGATCTCTTAGAGCGCAAAAACATGGTTGCAATTTGATCGAAGGGTATAATGATACAAAATCACATACAGTGATGTGGGTCAACTCCGTTACACGTGTTTGCCTTAATATTCTTATAAGCTCTTTGGGGCTCTTGATGTTTAGATCGTAATCCCTCATATTGTCTGATGCAATGATATGAACCGCTTTTTCAAGAAGTTGTGTTGGAGATCTGGCCTTGTCCAAAATGGGTCTAAGAGAAAGTGTTTGTTTCTGTGTTTTCGCAAAGGCGAATAATCTAGGCGTGTCCGGTGATGTCACCACCGCCCCTTTCAATTTTAGCTCCCTGGCAAGCGGTGTTTTTGTAAAGCGTTTGACTCGAGCCTGTAGTCTGTCAACGTATCCGTCGTCAATCGGCTCGCATTCCGTATCTGTGATGTATTGTTGCATCAGACTTCTATAGGTGGTTTCTTTTAAGAGTACTAATGCCCTGCTTTTGTCCGCTTTTAAAACGATGATGCCTTCCCCGGCTATCCATTTTTTGGTTTTTTTTTAAACATCGCCAAAATCCTTCATCTTGTGTTTTGTTGCGGCCGGAACAGATTTCTAATGTGGCTCTCCATCTGTAGTATTCTTTGTGAGTGTCCTTCATGCCCACGATCATCTTTTCAATATGTGGCATCACACTGTCCAATATTGGCTTAGGGGTTCCTGGAGTGTACATTGGGCCATTCGCTAAGGCGTCAATAAGATAATCAGGTGGAGATATGTTATCCCAACATACTAATGGGATTATTGGTACTACCTCCCTAAGCGGTCTCTGCTTTTTTAAAATTCAATTCATTTTCTTCTTGTGTTTTACGGCCAGGTTCCTCTCTAAAATTTCTTGATATATAATGAGAGGATTTTATAATTTTTTTTATCGCTTTGATAATTAAAAAAACAAAAACAAAAATGAAAATATAGAAACTTGTGGTAATATTTACATTAGATAAAATCTCATCAGGATGCCGTATGTACTGTCGAGTGCAAAATGGTTTTCCTCATCGTGACGTAAACCCGTCACGTAAGTGACGTCATTTGACCTGTCAATCATTTCTACTCGACAGTACATGTGTTGTTTCACCTGATTTTTCCGTTTAAAGCTCTCTTCACAGCCAATGTAATTGCACTTGAATGGCTTTTCATCCGAATGCACTTTCATATGACCTTTTAAATGACCCTTCTGCGTAAAGCTTTTTCCGCGCAAATTGCATTTAAACGGCCTTTCGCCTGTATGAGTTCGCATATGTTTTTCCAAGTTGCCTTTACTAAAAAACTTCTTGACGCATGTCCGGCATTGATGTTTTCGTTCCTTTTAAAATAATTCGTTTAATAACAATAAATAATTCGTGGAAAAGTTAAATTAATATTATTAACGATAGTATAAATAATTATTACACATTATATTAATATGCGTTAATAATATTAACGATAGTATAAATAATTATTACACATTATTTATACTATCGTTAATATTATTAACGATAGTATAAATAATTATTACACATTATATTAATATGTTAAAATTGTTTATAATATATACTCTATCTTCGATATAAGATTACAATTCATAGTTTGTGTTATTTTGTGAATTTATAATAAAACAGTTTGGGAAATTCAAAATGTATTTTGGAGATTAAATGAAAGATTTCACTTACCATTATGATTCTAATTACTTTTATTTAATTATCAAATTCCGTTTTTTAATTTTAAGTCGAAATTTTGTTCCAACAGAAAACAACAATGCACCGAAATAATGTAATTTCTTGATTGTTATGTAAACAACCCAAAGCGTGCTCAGCAGAAAATAATAAACTATAACTAAATCAACACCTGTTCACTCGCTGAGAGATTTATTCTTAACACAAACGTTTTCAATCCAATCAATGGATCATCGTCAGGTAAATTAGAACATTTCAAAAAATAGAACAACAAGTTCAAAATACAAAAAATATAAATATTAATAACGGATAACCAATATATTACTAACAGCAAAATAACGTTTTTAAATAATATAATTAATACAAATGCTGCTAAAATTATAAATAAAAATAAAATATTAAAATATAACAAATAAATTGTGTATACAAAATATTAATACTTCAAACTTAATAGACAAATCGATAACACTATATATTAATAATGCTTAATAAACTGTACGGAGTTTCTCAACTAAACTATACAGAGTTTTTTATATACATAATATTAAAGCTCCTGCTCTTATTTGAAGTTTTTAACTGCAAACTTCCATGCGGAAGGAAGTCCCTCGGCATCCCTTGCGTTGATGCAATTCCCTTTAAGTTTGCTTTTATAAATTTCTAATTTTTCGGCCGTTTTTGCCAAGGTCGGGGAGTGTATTTGTTTCAGTATATCTGCTTCATTCCATCTTACTATCGAACCCTCCGTTTGCGCCATTTGAGACAATACTGTGGCATTCGAACCTTTTCTCACATCATATCTGTGCTCTTTTATCCTTACCCCTAGATTTCTAGTAGTAACCCCAACATATTCTTTATCTATTCCTAACATCTGATTCTCGTATGGGATCTTATATACACCTGACCTATCCTCTTTTTTAACTATCCCTTTATCATTTCTAAGTATTCTGTACAAATTCGGAGCTCTTTTTAAGACTATTCTTGTAACTTTTTTATTTGCGATTTCTTTCATAATGCTTCCTAAGCGCTTGTTGTACGTAAATTTCGTGTATGTAG